TAGCACATGCAATAGGCAATAGAAACCAATTAATCCAGACTCTAGGTTCAAAATCATTGGTCCACACCCAGGAGTAACTGAGTCTAAAGCCAATAGCTGCAATTCACAAGCATTGAAGGAAAAATTGCCATGTCTTCTGGACTCAACTAAGAGAAAACCAACATATAATACTACTGAGCTCTGTTGGGTCTACTATAGAATTTTGTTGGCCCCTCTGTATAATGTAACTAGAAGATAAATTGCATTTGAAATGGGAACACGAACAAACTGAGAGATCTGAGACTCAGGGCCTTAAAACTCACTCGTGAAAGTATCCAGTTCGGAAATGCATGTCGACTGCAATTTCTGGGAAAATACATATAGTGGAATTTTAAAATGACTGCCAGAGTGTCGAGAAATAAAATTTTTGATGTTATTAGAAAAGATGATACATTTCGATGATAGCTATGGGAATTCTTATGGAGTTTGGTAAGAATATCCACCAAGACTGAAGCAAACAGCAGACATTGCTCCATATTTTGTTCTGAGATATTTTACAAGGGGTCATGTGAAAAGAGAATTTCAATCAATAGTCTTTTATAAAATGAATATCATATATTGATAAAATGAATATATATATATGTATGTATGTCAATTATAGTAAGATACAGTGAAATATAGTAAGATTATGGTTAGATTACATGTATAACTCCCTCCTTAATGTTTCTAGTCTAGTAGATACCTTTCAAGCATTCTTTATACAGTTAAGATAATAAGCAGATAACTGTAAATGTCTACAAGTTTAAATAATTTTTACAAATTTATTGTAAAATGCATAAGTAACAGAGAAAGGCAATTAAATTAATTTCAATTTAGTTGGTTTTGAAATGTGTGGATTTTAAAAATTGCTAGTAAATGCAATAATTGCTTATTTTGTTGGTGATACTATCTTTTAGAGAAGTCTGCAGTCAGATAAAAGATGGTAATTTTTTTAAATTAGTATAAATTGTTACTCAATATACCTTTACACATTTCTGTGTTGTTTCAAAAAATAAGTCTTAAGAAAATGCAAGTATAGTCAATCAAACTATTTCATAGTTGAAAGTCAAATGAAATTGTTCGAACACTAACTAGTTGAAGGAGAGTTTGCATTTATTAAAGAGCTGAGTACATGCTGGAGGTATTGAATAGTGAGGGGCAAACAAGTGGCAAATGTTAAGTTTTTAAAGATGAATGTTAAGGATCTAGATGAATTATGAAAATAGAATATAGATATTTTAATGGAAACATGAGAAGTCCACAGAACTTTTTTTAAAAAATATATCCTTACTTCTTACTTATTGAATTCTGACAGTGAATAGTAACTATTTATTGGGAGTTAGGAGATTAGATCTGGCTGTATGTGGTAAAGCACCATGTTTGTTTTAGTTAACTTTGGCATAGAGGCCATTATGGCATATTTTAATTTCAAGTAAGATGGGATTATATTACTTGCTTTGTCCTTTTAATTATTTATCTGTTTGCCTATTAATTCTCTCTGTGTTTGTGTGTGTATGTTGGTGAGGATATGCCATAGGATGGCACAGGTGTGGAGATAAAAGGACAATTTGGGGGAGTCAGTTCTCTCCTTCCCACCTTTGTTCTGAGAATAGAACCCAGGTCAGGACTTACCTACAGAACAGTCTTGCTAGACCTACACTACTTTACTGAATATTATTTTATAAATAGTATTCAAAATAAACCCCAAATGAATAGTTTGCTTAACATAAATTATAAATAACTCAGAAAATAACCAAAATCTTTATTTTAGTTGAGAAGATAAAATTTCAATACCTCATAAGGGTGAGTTTTAGAAAAGAATTCTTTTGGTGTTTAATTATTCAGAAACCACCATTTAAAGGCATTCATAAAAATTTTAAGTCATACTTATTTAAAGAATAAGTTAGTTCTACAATGGAGCATAAGTAAATCTAGAGTGGAACATATTAAATGACTCCATGTATGTGGATACCATATAATTTCAGCCATGAGGTTTCATCTTTTCAACCAACACATTACACATATAGTTTGTATTTGTTTTAAGACTGTAGAGCTGACAAAACACAAGACAGAAACATAGTTTACATATTAGTCTTTAAAGTTATATTAAACTATTTTAAAGTAAGACAACAGATACATTTACAATGAAAGTAATTTTAATGTTTTAGTAATTTTCAAAATGCAGTTATAGTATCTCTATTTTAAAAAGAAAACTATGAACCTAGCTAAAAACAAATTTTGGTCATATTTTCTTAAGTATAATACTAGCTCATTCCTATTTTATTTGCATATGCAGATAATACTTAGGAGACAGACTTTCTAGAATAATGTGCAAATGAATTTTCTCTTAGCAAAGCATTGCGTTATTGTTGTAGTGTGGAGGAAGCTACATGAAATGCATTGAAGCAGTCCAATGTCACTCAAAGCTCTCAACAGATAATGCATGTTCGGAAATAGTACAGTGTCTTTGTATCACTCCGTACTTGAAAATAGTAACCTCTAATCAAAATATTTTTATATCATGCATGCACCCACACACATTCAGCACTGGAGATAGCATCTATGACATGGCGAGGTGGGAGTCAGCACATAGCAGGCTATGACAGTGTGAGGTGGGGAAATTTGGATATAAGAGCAAACTTTTACTCTTCCAAATAGACAAAGGGTTCTTTTGTATCTCTAACAGAAAAGGAAAGATGTGTAATTCCAAAGATTACATACCAAGGGTCAAGCCAATACTATACTAAATTACAAAAACAACATTTCTAAGAATTCCATCTGCACAATTGTAGAATCTCTTCTTGCAACAAACCTTCTGTAAGGAGGCTGATTTTATTTACTTTGGCTGTTGTCCTGAATTAGGATGTGGAAGGAAATTCATGCAAATTGTTGCTCCTGAAAGTGGACACACTGTATTCATTTGGTTTTATTTTGATTATGTGGATTTAAGACTTGGATTTCTTAGAGCCTTTCATAGCAGAATAGGTACTTAAAGAGGATAAAGAATTTTGTCAGCCCAGTTTGAGAAAAATACTTTACAAAAGTTAAAGTTACCACTTCCAGATTTGTACAATGCTTATTCTACTTGTTAAAAACAGGCAACTCATACTTGTCTAAAGAAAGTGTTAACATTACCATATTGTTTTCCTGTTGAAAATAATTGATTGTGAGATAAGGGTAAGATTTCATCAGAAATATTTATAAAGCCATAATTAGTAGAATGTGCAGTTTTCATTAGTTTCTGAAATCTTTCAAGTTAGTAATGATATCTAACTATGCAGATTTTATAGACAGATTTTACATATGCATATCTACTTATTATATTTTAATATATATGCATGTATATGACCCTGTATTCAAATCACTAATCTGACTATTGAGATTTCATGAAATTAAAATATTGCTTATAGGATAGTTATAGCCAATCAATTATATGACATTTTTCACAGATAAAACTAAGAAATATTGGTATTGGAAAATGACACATAGATTTGACTAACAAAGTAAAATAGTTAAATGACTGTAGATTCTAGAGGAACTTAGTAAGTACTTGACTTAGTTAATTATATTGCTGTGATGAAACACATTGACTAAAAGCAAATTGGGGAGGAAAGAGTTCATTTGGCTTTTACTTCCACATGATAGTACATCACTGAAGTACAGGAACCCAAACAGGACAGAAACCTAGAAGCAGGAGCGTCCAGAGGCTAAGAAGGGGTGCTGCTTATTTACTTGCTCCTCAGGGCTTGTTCAGTCTGCTTCTCCTACAATCTTGGATCACCAGCTCAGTGACAGCACCATCCACAAGGGACTGGGCCCTCCCACATTGATCACTAATTAAGAAAATGCCCTACAGCTGGATCTTATGGAGTAATTTTTCTCAGTTGAGATTACCTACTTTCGGATGATTCTAGCTTGTGTCTAGTTGACATGAAATTAGCCTATTCGGTACTTTAAAGTAGTACTGGGTCAACATACTATGTAAGAAAGTTGAGATGGTAAAAAGGCTCATTTAATATTATTTCATTTACAGGATTCTTAATTGGGGACATTAAGAATGCACAGCAGAATGCATCTTGGAAGCTATTTTAACCTGTAATTTACCCTGAAATTCTAGTTTAGCAAACTAGACTATTTGTAATGTAATTTCACAGACCAGATTTTTGGCTATGATACAATTACAAATCACCTATAGACCAATACTGTAGATTTCCTTCCTAGATAATTACATATCAATCATGCTTGGATGTGTGTCTTTGTGATATCTCTATACATTTTAATTTATAAATTTGAAAAGATGCTCTAATTAAAACAAATTTGTTAATTTCTATACATAATCTTTTAATGAACATATTCTAAAGATACACAGACTGCACAAAAGCATTTTGAACCTCATTCTCAGGTTGCTTGTACAGCTGCTCTTAGGATTGTGTATATAAATAAGTTTTCTATTTATTTCCTTACTTATTTATTGCTATTTATTTATTTATTAGTGAATCTGGTCTCTTTTTATAGCTCTGGCTCATCTGGAATTTGCTGTGTAGGTTGGGCTGGCTCAAACTCACAGAGATCTTCCTGCCTCTGCCTTCCTAGTGCTGGGATTAAAAGTAAGTTCTACTACATGCAGCTCCCATTTATTTTTAAGTTAATTGTCTCCAGTTCTATGATATTCCCCTGTGAAGAACACTGTAAGAAATATATATAATATTTTTAAAATTTGTATGTTTAAAATCACTTTGACTAGTTATATTCAACTGTAAACAAAATGAATCATAACTGAGCCTTTTATTGAGCAAGGAAAGACAAGAGCTATACTCCCAGAAGAGATGATTGTTCCTAGCTGAAGAGAAATGCTGTTTGCTTAGCTTTAAGTAGGAAAGGGTCTGTGTTTCCCCACCAAACACTGCCTCAGAGCAGAATGTGCTGTTTGCGTTTTAGAGATGATCACATTCCTCTACTTAGAGTTAAGAAAGTCAATTTACCGTGTCTGAGAAACGGTAAAACTTCTCCAGTGCAAAAGCTTCTGTCTGTGGGAAGGTAAAGTGGACCAAGAGGGATTGAGAAACCAGAGAATCAAGTCATGTATAATTACACAATTGATTTTAATCACATACACCATTTTAGCATACATATGTATCAATTCATTGATGTCCACATACACAAAGTATCTATCCAAAAGTATCGAATTAAAAATCAGTGGCTTTGTTCTGCGTTAAATTTTAATTACCCTTAGTCACATATGCTGCCTGAATATTTCAAGTCGTGATGAGAGAATGATAAACCATTATTATTATTGTATTTATTTCTAACTTTTCCTGGAACACCAGTCACTAAACATATTGATCTTTGCATCTTTGCTGTGAGCTAAAGAGTAATGGACATTAAGTACATCAAATATTTTTATCTCACTTCTACATGTGGTAAAATTGAAAAAAGCAGCACTTCAGTCAATTTTTTTTTCTTGAAAAGAGGAATCAGAATTGAATATCTAAATTGTGGTCTGGTTCACTATCAATTATGTTCAGGGTAGAGTGACGGTGAGATAGCAGTCTTTTATCTATTAGATAGCATATGCATGATATTTCTCATTTCTAGTCTACGAAGCCTGTGGTTGAAGCATCCTACAGTAGATAGGAAAGAAAAAATAAGTAAAGAAATGGAAGTGAAAAGTGTAAAATCAAATACTAAAGATAAGGAAACAGAGTGTTGCCCCAGTTATAATAAATAGTGATCAGGAAAATTGTTATCCGTCACTAACAGGAAAGAAAGGCATATGCTTTGGCCCTGTGAAGCTTTGATTCTGTTACAGTGTTTTAGTAAGTCTAAGAATCAGGAGAGAAAGGGCAGTAAAAGTCTGTGTGAGAGAAATGATGAGGAGAAAGGGATGGATGGAGTGAAGGTTCAGGAAGAAGTAGGAAATGAGGAGGAGGGGAATGCGGTGGTAAAGGGAGAAGAGGAGGGGGAGGAGACAGGTGGTACAGGAAGAGGAGAAGGAAGAGGAGGGGAAGGAGGAATAAGGAAGAGGAGGAGAGAGAACATGGAGTAAGAAGAGGACAAAAACACAATTGACCAAAGACCAGGGGAAGGTGGAAGGACAATATGAAAGTTAATCTCCTCATCACCATACATTTTACATATGAATGGTATAGTTTTGTTTTCATGCAAATTTAACAAATGAAAAATTGAATATTGTTTTCTGTCCAATATTATTATTGTCTCAGTGCTAATGCTCCCTTCCTACAACAGTTTGTGGATGTTTTTTGGGTTTGTGATAAGTTTTGGAAGTCAATTGCCTTAGAATATATTTAATATTAAGTGCACTTAAGCTGAGACAGTAACTTCTTTTGCTTTAAAATATTTAATAATTATATATGCAGCAAATAATTAATAAATCATTGATCTTTTAAAAGTCATTAAAACTTTATACCATATATGCCAAAGCATTGCCCTTAAGACTTATGTTTTGTTTAAATGTCTCAGTATAAACCGGCAATATTTCTATATGACTCTGACAGTGTTTTGTTGAACAAAGATTTTCCATTAAGTTGTCAGTTGGCACATTTGCATGGTAATAAACAAAGCATAGATCTATTGTTGAGAGAAATTCTGTCATTATAAAGGAAAGAGGCTTACTCAAAATCATGTTGTCCATAAAGGAAGATGCCTTAACAGGTTTTAATGGTAGAACAAACACATTGTAGACAAGCAAATTCAGCTAGCAGGTTACGTCCACAACTTTCTATGACTTCCTAATGATGCTCCCAATGCATTTTCTTGTGGATCCATCTTTGATCAGATATTAGCAAGGCAATAGATAATAGCACTTGTTTTATTTATCACAATGTATCAGAACAAAATGTTTAAATATGAAAATGTGCATGGGAAGAAAACTATACTGCATGAGCTCATCATTATAATACTTCCATGATATTTTATGGAAGCAATTAATTAGCTCAGAAAAAAGAACAATTTTCATGACTAAATCTTATGTCTGTATTAAGAGATGGCATTGTGAATACCCTAGCATTGCAAGTAGGAGATGAAATATTTATCAACTGAACATGAGTGATGTTGTTCCTGGAAATATATTAATGACCTTGATAAAGCATATCATGGCACCAGACATGCTACATAGGCATAACTCAATACTACAATTTCTCCCTGAAATGATCTTTGCACATATTTTTCAGCTGAACAAAAATGAAAGAATATCATTTCAGTTAGTCCCCAATCCAAATTTCTCTCCTGTACATTTGTATCACACACAACAAATCACTATGCATTGCAAATCGATATCCCATTAAACCCAATAAAAGTAACTGCTTACCTTATTCTTTCTCTTCCGTCGAAACCTCAGAAGTTCTTTGTGTTGTCTTGATACAAAATTCACTGCTGCATACTCCAGAAGTGCTGAAAACACAAAAAGGAGGCATACTGCCATCCAAATATCAATAGCTTTTACATATGAAACCTGGCCAAGAGAGAAGCAAGGAAAAAAAAGAGAGAGCAAGAAAATTAACTTTGGTTACTACTGCCTTCAAAAACACAATTGTTATTTTATGATTCTGAATATATTTTATAAATCAGTTAGAAAAATAAGTGAAAAGAATCTATTCACTAAGAACTTCTAAGATAATTTTTTTACAAATTTTATGGATTAGTCATAATTACAGGACTTGAATAAATTTTGTTATTATTTGCAAGTTTGATATTAACTCAACCATAAGAAAAAGGAAGGAATATTCTATATATGAAACATTATCAAGGGGATACAAATAGGAAAGGAAGAAGTCAAATTATATTTGAGGATAATGTGATTTTATACATAAAAATCCTAAGAACTCCACCAGGAAACTTCTAAAGATAATAAATACTTTCAATAAATTACCAGGATACAAAATTAACACAGAAACTTTAGGAGCTTTCCTATCTAAAAATGTTAAACAGAATGAGAAAGAAATCATGGAAATAATATCTTTCACAATAACCTGAAAGATATTTTGGGATAACTCTAACCAAGCAAGTGGAAGATTTGTGTAATAAACATCTTATGATACAAAAAAAGAAATTCGGAAGGCATCAGAAGATGGAAAGATTTCCTATGTTCATGGATCATTAACCAAAAGCCATCTATACATTCAACACCAACACCATCACAATTCCAACACAATTTTTCCAGAAAGTAAAGAAAAATCTTCAACTTCATATGGGAACAAACAAACAAAAACCAGGAAATCTTAAATCATTCTGTGTGATAAAAGAACTGCCAGAGGTATCACTGTCCCTGATCTCAAGCTCTGCTACAGAGCTATAGCAACAAAAAACAAGACGATTTTGGCACAAAAGCAGATATGTTGATTAACAGAATCAAATTGAAGGCCCAGATCTAACTCTGCATACCTAAGGACGCCTGAATTTTTCAAAGAAGCTAAAACCACTCACTGGAGTAAAGATAACATCTTTACCAAGTAGTGCTGGTCAAACTTGATGTCTGCATTTGAAAGAATGAATAGATACTGGCTATCACCCTGTACAAAAGACAACCCAAATGGATCAAAGACCTCTACATAAGATCAGGTACCCCAAGTCTGAAACATTATAAAGCTTGAAGTTACACCAAAATAAATAAATAAACATGTGTATACATATATGTATATATATAACAATATTAACTTGTAAGTATTATATTTTCATTATTTATTTTTTACTATGCAATGATTTTATTTTACAACTAATACATTCAGCTAAAGTAATTTTCAATTACTTTATGTGCCTTGCTGTTTCACCTGTATTATGTTTATGTGAAGGTTTTGGATGCCTTGGAACTGGAGTTACAGACAGTTGTGAGCAGCCATGTAGGTGTTGGGAATTGAACCCAGGTCCTCTGGAAGAGCAGCCAGTGCTCTTAACAACTGAGCCATCTCTCCAGCCACCCAGATAAAATAATTTTATTTGGTCTCTATTTCAAAATTTTTCATATGCATCCCTTAAGAATAATAAAAAGAATTCCTTACTTCCTCAGCTGCTTATCTGACTACATTTATCATTACATGTGTACACACTAGTGCACTCGAGTGTGTGTGTGTGTGTGTGTGTGTGTGTGTGTGTGTGTGTGTGTGTGTGTGTGTACCACACATATGGTGTAAATTATGTCTATTTCTGACTACTGAACTATATATGTGTAATATTTTAAGACACAGTGCTATGCACACAACACTGTTAGCAATTTGTGCAACTACAATCTAATTGTAATATCCAATACCATTCTATCAATTATCCTAAAGATGACATTTAAATTTTCTTCCAATGTAGAGTTTTAAAGGATGATTTATTGCAGTCTAGCTTCAGGTCTCACTAGTGTGTACTCTGGAACACTTGCTCAATCTTTCCTTGGTTTTGCTGTTATCAGTAGCTTTGTTGAGTCAAGGTTAGCTGTTTTACACAGCACTCTCCATAAATTTTCATTGTGTATTAGTAATGTCCTACCAAAGTCTCATGTCTGTCCTTCATTGCGTATTACAGCAGGGAGCATAACGTGTTGGCCATTTGGCTATGGTGAGTGAGGTCTTCCAGGTTTCTGTATTTTAAAGGTACTGATTTACTCCTGATGTAATGTTATGAAATTATGTTGACATAACTTTGATACATGAAACCTCATTGATGATTTTGTTTCACCTGATGTAATTTAATCATTATCTTCACTTTTAGTGATCATCCTGTTATTATCTACATTTATTATTTTCATATATATTTATTTGTGAGAATCCTACTGTGAGCAATCTTTTAATTTTAGCACATTAATGTTATTGTTCATTGAGGCGCACAATATACTTTTTGACAAGTCTCCATATTGTTTTGCCACTTCCTTTTAGTGACATAAGGTGTGTTCAGTTTATCTTGAACTGCTTCATTAACTGTCTTTAAATTGGCCCCTTTCTAAGGAATCATTCTTTTCAGTTTTAATATTTACTTTTATTATTTTTAGCTATGTGTTAATATGTATCTGTGTGGATGTACAGGTATCTGAGGAGGACAGACACATTGAATACACCTGACACTGGAGTTACACGTGGCTGTGAGCTGACTAAGGTGTGCTAGGACACAAACTCTTGTCCTCTGTAACAGCAGACTGTACCCTTAACCACTGGGCAATCTCTGCATTCTTTATGGAGTAATTCTTTTTTAAAAAGGCCTTTTAGAAATGAAGGTTAGCAGGTCAGTATATGGAGTATTGAACTTTACAATAAAATATTCATCTCATGCTCAAACCACATAGTGCGTTGGTTGACCTGAATCAACCATCTTCCTCTTTTTAATTAACAAAGCTAGGAAACACACACACACACACACACACACACACACACACACACACACACACAGAGAGAGAGAGAGAGAGAGAGAGAGAGAGAGAGAGCGAGAATAAGAGAGCATAAATATGTCTGCATCTGCCTTTTAACTTTATATATCAATAATCTATCTACTTGCATATTTTCTACTTGCATAAATCCATTTTTCATCCATGTATCAAACATGAATACACTCTAGTATCTCTGGTTTTATTTCAACATCTTAGGGTTTATTCTAGCCTTTGTAGTTTTCTGTTACATCATCCTTTAAAAGTGAGAAATTTGGCTCAAATGTATTTGATCATTTATCAAGTATGTTAATCAATACTGCTGAAAAAACAGCTCAGCCTGTGCCCTCTTGAAGCCAGCTGTCTCCTACTCCAAGCCTCATTCCTGAAAACCACAGGGTGCCTTTACTGTTCACCATTTCTCCAGCACCATGGCTATATCCATTGGTTCAGCCAGTCTCTGGGATCCTAATTGTCCTCAAACCAGGATCCCGCAGGCCACAAATTCTTATTTGGAGGCTTCTAACAGTATTGGATTCCTCAGAATGGGAGTTACAGATAGTTATGAACTGCCATATGGATGCTGAGTATTGAACCAGGTCCTCTGGCAGAGCAGCCAGTGCTCTTAATCACAAGGCCTACTCTTTAGTCTCACAGATATTATTTTTGAGGTTACTTTTAAAGGCAAATCTGACCGCATTACCTTCAAGTTAAAACTCACTATTTTCTCATCATGAATTTGAAGGCTCAAATTTATTTCAGATCACATGAAACCCTTTGCTTACCTTTCTTACCAATGTCATTCATTTTCTTTTTACCCCTTTCATCCAATATTTATTAAAAGCCAATGATTTTTAAGCAAGTTCTATTTTTTTTGTATTAGAGAAATAGAAATGATTAATGGAGCTTATGTTGAAGCAATTAAGTAAGGAATGAATAACAAAACTATGTAAGTAATAAGATAACAAGAGAACTCTCATAAAGGAAGTATGGAATGATGGAAGAATAACTGGGCAAAGGAGTCTACACTAGATAAGGACCTCTCTGGGGATGCGTTAATCACTGGTGTTTGCCACTTTCTTACTATGTCCTAGCTTCCATTTCCTTCTTTGAATTTTTGGAAACTGAAAACAACCAAATTCTTTTTTCCTGCCTTAGAAAATTTGACTTGCCTTTACCTTTGTCTGGAATATTCCCTTTGAGGTACTCCTGTTTATCCTTCAGTGTAAGTTACTTTCTCAGTAAATCTTTTCCTAAATGTTCATAATAGAAGATCACTTCTCACTACCTTCCTGGGTCTTTTTCACAATTAGAGGCAAAGCTCCTCACCATAGAGGTGGTTTGGAGGCCTAGTGAAATACCTGCTTAAAGTCATAGAACTACCAATTGCAAAGATGAAGATCTGAAAATAACTAACTTACATCTGGAGACCATAAATATGACTACTATTCAATTACCTCCCGGTTTAGACTAATCAAATTATCTCTAAAAATTAAGAACAACACTCTAAGTTGGAGTTCATTTTGTGTCAAGACTTTCATCTTTATTATTTCCCTAATAGATAAAAGTCAAAGTTCTTCCATATTTGTTTCCTTTTATCTTAAACACATACTATTCCCACAACCAGACACTCTGAGAAAGGAGATAGTGTCCAGATATTTACTAGAGAGAAACAAAATATCTTTTGACCAAGAGAATCAAAACTTAAAATCTGTGAAACTTTTTATCCTTCAAAATACAGTGATGAGTCTCCCTGAGTTCATAAAACATAGCAAGGCTTTTCGTTGAGCTAAAGGAGATCACTGTCTACTGAATTTATATTAATCCAGGGAGGCATTGTCCACTTGATAATTTACATTTAGAATGAGTGGAGTGTTTAACCTTAAATGGGACATCTATATTATCAGTACCCAAGGCTGAGGGATAATTGCAGAAGAGCCCAAAAGATTCTAAGAGCTAAGGGTCTGGGAGGACCTTCATGGAATAGTGTTTTTGGACATTTGAGTACCACTGAACAATGAACTCTTAACAACTGTGGTTGCCTGCATAAAATCAAGCCAGTCAACATTCTGTTGAGAAGATGGAATGATCCATGAACCTCTACCCTAATTGTGGCA